AAAAAAAGTTCAGAAAGCAAGCACATTACAGAGAAACATCCTGGGAGTCCTGCCTGGACAGCTTTGTGTACAAATGCAGGAGGATTTTCTTGCTGCTTTCACAGGGGACCAGGCCTTGTGGCCCTGAAGATGGGAGAACAGATCAAGAAAACTAAACCACTCAGTCTTATCGAATGAGGAAGCATAAAAAGACCTTACTATAGGGTAACCTGTGAACAAAGCGTATTCAGTATAACCAGCTGGGTCATTTTTAATCAGAAGGTGGACGTGTTCCTGGAGAAAATTGGTACCGAGGTGCTAACGTCCAGGGTCTTCTGAGTCGATACATCCCCAGGAATGTAATAGTGGGTTTTATTTTAAGGATTTTTAGTTTCTTTTTTTAATCAGCATTTTGTTGTGAGATCCTGCAAATGTATTCTAACCTCGTCCTCTCGAGAATTGGTATAAGAGCACTTCTTAACATCATCCTTGCTTCACTCTGGCAGTGCTGATCTCCAGTTGAGCAGGGAAACCTCTTTCAGATGCAGTGTGCCATTTCCCAGTTTACTTCCTCCTCTTACCTCCTGTCTGTTTCGGTCAGTCAAAGAAATCAATCAAATCAGTGTTGGAAAAGCAAGAACTTGCAAGCCGAGGAAAGCACATTCTGCAGACCCTGAGCACTCTTCTGGGGAGGAAACTGGAGATGCCTGTACTGGACTTAGAGAAGCAGTCTCTCACCTACAACAGCGTCGATAACCAGCAGAGAGCTGTGTGTTGAGGGAGAAGACTGGGAATGACTGGCCTAGTTAAGAGCATCAGCCCTGCTCTGTCTCCTTATTCACTGTATGTTCTTGAAAGCGTTAACAGCTGCCTGCCCTTCATGTCAGGCTTTGTGCAGAACGGGTTGCACAGGGAATCATGATGGTGGCTGTGGCACAGCTGTGTCTCGGCTGTACCCCAAGGCCTCTGTTTCTCTTTCAAGCTGAAACTCTGCAGGTAAAAGTGAGGATAGTACCAGTATGTGACAGGCCGAGGCATTGGCAGATGAGAAAAATTTGTTTTCTGATAGAACTCATAGTGCCTTCCCTTCAAACACTACTCTTCAAAATCAATATTTAAAGAGAACAAAATGATAGAGCGCATTTCCCCCTCCCCACCTTAGTTGATGTCCCCTTGCGAGAGCTTTTCACTCTGCCCTTCCTAGCGTGCTGGCTGCCGCGGCTGTGCCACGCACTGCTGGGTGCTGCTCTGCAGACTGGCACACCAGCCTGAGGTGAATGGCAGGAATGGACCATGGACAGGTACTTCTGTTGCTTTGTTTGTTTACATTTTATGTTAAAATATTGGTTTGAATTTAACTGTGGTAATTTATAGCCTCATGGCAAAATGAAGGAAAATGTCTTATACAGAGAGCAGTATTGTATGAGTTAAATTATCCCATATTTTAAAATTTTTGTAGCTGGACTACACACAGATCTTAAGTTATGATGTTATTTTATTATTTATTATCATTTCTGTAGATCAGAAGGTTGGCTTCACCGCTAGCACACTGTAATCTGTTTGTGTGATGTTCTCCCTGGTTGCGGGGAAGGGTGGGAGCAGAGCTGGTCTCGGCGGCTGTCAGCAGTTGCTGCCTCTCGTGATTCCCGAGGATGCTGTTATACCGGGGCAGAGAGCCTGTCGAGGCTGGTCTGAGAGGAATGGATGCAGTCAAGCCCCATGGGCCCTGGGATATTCCTCGTGGTTGATGCTGCAATTTGTTTGTGTTGCCAGTAGGGTTGGCAGCCCCTGAGCTGGTGGGGAATGGTGATGAGGGAGCGAGTGGCTTTTGAATTGATGACAAAGTGAATAAACATCACAAGATCTCCTAGCAAGCGCATCCAAAAGGACAAGCAGAGAGGAAGGCAGTTGCTCTGGGCAGCAGTTATGAGATCAGGGGTGACCAGCAGTGGATCCACATGGTGGATCACCTGTGCAGGACCAAACAGGCTGCTGGAGAGGGAGCAACCAGTTCACCCTTGCCTGCAGCAGCAATACTCGGCTCTGGGTGAGGCAGAATGCTGTGGGGAGTAAAGCTCTTGCCTGGCTTGTTTCTTGTTTCCTCCCTGTTCCCATCCCTCATTTCTCCTCTTAAGTGTTCTCTGTCTTTCAGCCAGTGGCAGGAGGAGGTGGCAGGGCCAGAGATGGCTTTGCTGTCATGGTGCGAGAGGGGTTTTGGTGTGGAAGAGGTGGTGCAGATGCTCAGGAGGCTGGAGGCTGGGGTGCAGGAATTTAGCAGTGGAGAGCTGTGTGCAGGTAACATATGCACAGAAAAAGGAAGACCAAACTATTGCATAGGGAGAGGTTGAGAACTGCCATTAAATGTTCCCCAGAGCAGAGGATGCCAGGCCTTATGCCCATGGTGAGACTCTTGGAGCTCCCAAGGCTGTTTGCTACCTGCAGGCAGTGCCATGTCAACCCAGCCCACAGCCCTGCAGGACCCACTGTCTGTGGGCTGCTCTGGTGTCCTAGGGCAGCCCTACAGCAACAGGCCCACAGCAGAGCTGCCTCTAGCTCCAGCTGGTCAGAGTCTCCGTGCAAGAATGTCAGTCTGCCATGATTCAGTCCCTAACAAAAAGATCCCGGAGGCGTTGTGGTAGCTGTGGTCTCTGCTTAGAGCTCCTCCACCATGTGATGGAGCTCCTCTGGGCTGGCAGAGAAGCATAGAAGCTTTGAGGTGTGGGATTTTGGGACCCTTCTGGGCCAGCTGCCGATTCCTCCCCGTCCTTGCCTGGGGACACGCTGACCCATTCTGCAGCCTGGAAAAGCAGAGCTGAACCCTTCAGGTTGTCTGCTGCCACACTTGGCTCTAGTTTCTTTGCACACCCTGTAAAGGGTCACTGCACTGTTACTGTCCAGCATTGCTCCTCCCACCTGCTGCCTGCTATGCAGTGTCTCTCTGGGACTGCCACCAGGGCTTTCCCCTCCTTGCCTAAACACCTAACCCCGAACCTGTGGAGATGTCATCCCAGCCTCCCCCTGCACACACATCTCGTGCCCTTGGCTGTGTGCGGGCAGGGGTGGCTCAGCAGCCCCCTGCGTGCCTGGGACGGTTGCTGTCAGTTCTGCAGGGGGTTATATAGGCATTTTCCTCAGTGACACCTGCCCAGAATTGCACGTAGGTGGGATCTCCATGGTGCTGTACGGGCGTCCCTGCTGCGGTTCCTCGTCCTTCCTCTGTACGGGGCTGAGAGGGACAAATCAGCCTGTTTCCTCCTCGCAGTAACACCGTGTTTGCAGGACAGAAGTAAACCGTGGGTTCCCTTTTTGGCCTCCCGACTACCCTGATCCAGTTCTCACAGCTGCTGACAGCTCCTGAACACTAGCCTAGATTTTCTCCCAGAGCTGAATGTTGCCTTCCCCACTGTTGTGTTAAGTAACCATTTCATCTTGGCCCTGTCCAGTAGTGTTCATCTCTCTCCTTCCTGCTCTGCGGATTCCTGATACAAACTTGATTTTTTTTGTATTGAACAGTGTACAGTGATGGAAACAAGAATGACTATCAAAGCAAACAATGCATGGAATAAAAAGCCAGTGTACTTCAATGCTTCTCGGGCTGGTCTGGTGATCTGGGAATGATTTCTCGTGTATTTTGGGATAATGTCATGAAGCCTTTTAATAACATGATGTTAGCAAGCAGCTTGTCCTTACCTGTCTCTGACCACAGCTGAACTGGAACTACTGGGAGCTCCACATAGCAGGGGGGAGGCTTGCTTGGACACACATAGGCTATCAGGCACCCAAGAATCCCTGAGCCTTGGCCTTTGCTCTTGTCAAAGGAGTGGTTTTTGCAATGTGAGCTGGGGGATTGAATCTGCAACCGTGACTTCTCATCCTGGGAACCTTGCTGGCCAACTCAGTCCCAACCCAGCTGCTGGGGAAGGTGCTAAAATGGATGAAGCATTCGCTCTGACAGCTTCCCAAGTGCTCTGGGCTCTCCCATCTTCCCCCTTCCATGCTGGAAAGTTTACTTTATCCTTCAAGTGGAGGGCAAATTCAGGGAGAGTAGAGCAAGGAGGTGCAAATACCAAAACCCAGGAGTGTGGTGTCATCCCTGGGGGCTACTGTTGTTCAGCAACTGAGACAGAGCCTACCTGCTTATTTGGAAACCTTCTAGTGATACATGAGCAAACATGTAGGTTTAATCACTGCCAGGCAGGAACATCCATTCCTCTTTTCCCCCCACTCCCCCCCCTTTAGTCTTTGTGGGAATGCGCAGCCACACACCTCAGAAGCAATCATCTCCTGTGTTCTGACATAGGAATGATACATACAGACAGCTGATAGCTGGCCCCAAAACCTGAATGATATACTTCAGGGTGCGCTTACTTAACATCTGTATGACAGAGGAAGAGTCTTCTATATGAAGAAGGCGCAAGGACCCTGAAACATCATTACTACTCTTCACAGCTTGTTAGGTGCAGTAGTACCAGTGTAGCAGTGCATGGTTTGTTTTAGGCCAAAAATGCTAAATAAGTCTGTGTTTGGAGAAGGCAGGGGAAGGAGGGCCTGCCTAGAGCTGGGAAATGCTGCTACTAGAGCAGTGGTGAAAAACAGGTGCTGCTGCAGCTCAACACAGCCCTGTGTGCTGTGAACTCCTCGGTGCCAAGGGATGAGTGAGGCTGGGCAGAAGCCTGCCTCGCTCTCAGAGTGGGCACCAGCTCTGTGCTGCCATGTCAGTCACACCAGTGAGACTCACAGAGCTGGACTAGGTGGGAAGTGCAGGAGCCTGTGACTTGAGCTGGTAGGGATGTCACAGGGAGGGCCATGCTTGGCCCTCATGTTCAAGAGCTGGGAGGGACTAAGAGGCTCTGATTTGCCTTCCTCACAGCATGCTAATACTCCTGATTTTTTTTTTTTCCATTGCTAATACATTTGCAGTGGACTGGCAACACCCTCAGGCACACTGGAGACACAGGCTGATTGAAAGGAAACAGGCAAATTAACTGAAGTGTTGATAAAGCCCCTGTATAGTGCTCTCCGTGCAGATACATGCACAGTTAAACATTCATTAAAAATAAAACCTTACACCTCCTCTTAGACGAGAAGAACGATTAAAAACTGCAATTGTCCTTGGTCCATGGTGGCACAGAGCATGCAGAATACAACCCACAGGAACAGAGACCTGTAGCTTTTGCGAGGCAGTCCCCCAACCTGGGGGACACGTGAGCCATCACAAGCTCTTTTTGCCGTTGAGTAACTGAAGATGCTTGTCTTCATCCAGCTTCAAGTGCTTCTGGCTGTATTTCTTGATGAGGGTCCCTGGTATCAATGCTGCCACAGCCATCGCAAGCAGTTTGAGCAGCGTGTCCCAGGAGAAAATGGCATCCAAAGAGGTGATTTGTGACAGAATGGCTCCTGTCTGCACACAGATGAAATTATATGGTGTAAGACCTGAAAGAATCAGAGCAAAAAAAGTCTGTTAGCATGTAAAATTAGCTCAAATATGCCCTTGCCCAAGGCCAGACCCAGGAGTCTGCATTCATAATGGAAAGAACAGGGCGTGATTCAAAACTTTGCTGCCTTGGTGCTGCATGAATATTTGTAAAATGCTCTGAGACCTCTGAGTATAAGGGTGGCACAAAGGCAAACAGTTAAATGAGGCAGAGTCACAGCTACGACCCTGCCGCTCTGCCTTCCCCAGCTCAGCACACTAGCCAAGGCTTGGTGATGAGGACAGAGGCAATGTCACGCTGTCCCCTCAGACAGTCTCCCCAGGCCTTACCAATGAGAACGGAGAAGAAGAACTGGGACACAGGGATGTTTAAAATGGGAGCCGAGAGGTTCAGAAACCAGTTTGGTGTCATGGGGAACAGCCTCAGGAACAACAAGAAGAAAAATAAGCAGTTCCTGTTCTCCTCTACCTGCCAAGAGAAACATTACAAATTATTTCTGCTCTTCGGACAGCAGTGACACCTGAATGGCCACGATACCAAAGTGAATGTAAGTTTTTCTTATCACAGAATCATCAAACAGTTTGGGTTGGAAGGGACCTTAAAGCTCATCCAGTTCCAACCCCCCTGCCATCAGCAGGGACACCTTCCACTAGACCAGGTTGCTCAAAGCCTCATCCAACCTGGCCTTCAACACTTCCAGGGAGGAGCAGCCACAGCTTCTCTGGGCAACCTGGGTCAGTGTCTCACCACCCTCACAGCAAAGAATTTCTTGCTCACATCTCCATCTCCCCTCTTCCAGTTTCAAGCCATCACCCCTCGTTCTGTCACTCCCTGCCCTTGTCAAAAGTCTCTCCCGAGCCTTCCTGTAGGCCCCCTACATGTTCTTCTAACATGCCACAACATAACATCAGTCCAGAACTGATGAGAAGCATAAATTTATGTATGTATGTATGTAAGCCTAATGGTGAGCCAGCCCCTTCCAAACAAGTGGTGCAGATTGGATCCAACCTGAATGGGAAATCGGGAAGTCAACAGTGGAACCACCTCCAGTTGTACAATGCAGCACAGGATGGGTGGAGGCAGTTCTGGACCATAGGGGCTTCCTAATCAATCCAATATCTTACTTCTGATTTTCTGTGCACCCCCTTTGCAAACAGCCTTGCTCCCAAGAGAGCAGTCTGCTCCTAGGTTGTGTCAGAGGCCCTTCACTGACCTGATGCATCCCCTGCATGTATTCATTTTTTTTTAGTAAGTCAACCCCAAAGGCAGCCTCATCTGGGAGATGTTCTGCGTGGCCGCAGACCCACAGCTGCTTACCTTCCTTTGTAGCAGAGCTACTTTATCAGGAAAGTAGTAGATGATGAACTGCTTTCCAAACGTGCTGGAGAGCAGGTAGCAGAAGGTCGCTCCCACGGATGTGAGGGCCGAGCACAGCACCAGCCCGGTCCACGGCCCGAAGAGTGCTCCAGCCAGGAAAGGAGTGAGACCCGGGGAGGGGCCCCCCCGCCGTGTCCCCTCCGGCTCCTCACAGACGCTCCTGGCAGAGCCGTGACTCGCCCACGAGACACCGACCTTGCACCTTGTCCCAGCCGGCAGCGCCCGGCCCGGGACTGGGGACAAGGGGTCCCTCTGAGGGGTCCGGCCCTGCATCCCACCCCCGGCCCTGCACC